AAGGAAGATATAATGAACAGATATCACAATACCCCGGCCTGCAACCCCTTCTCCACTTCAAAAAGTGTCCATATCGCATTTGATCTAAGCCGCCAGGTATTCTCCGCAGTGGTGTAACCACCGGGGAACAAGGGGAAAATATTCAAAATCTTTCCCCATTGAATGCCCTTTTCACCCGGGAAAGTGTCTGAAAATCTCAAATTTTAAATCCAATATTTTGTTGAGGTAGGCCAATTTCCTCTAAAAATTGCACATTTTAGGGAGTTTTGATCAATTCCGACGAAATTAGAATTAAAAAAACAAAAGTTATAACACATAGTCCCAAACTCAAGAAAGAAAAATTAAGATAGATCGTTTTACCTAAAAGAAGGGCCTCAATGTGTAATGATGTTGAAAGAATATGTTTATAATAAATAAAGCCATAAGGAAAATGCTTATATTCAGTTTAAAAGAACGAGTGTGGCCATATATAACATAAGAGCATTTCTTGTTGAGGTAGGCCAATTTCCTCTAAAAATTGCACATTTTTTAGTTTTGATCTATTGCGACGAAATTAGAATTAACACAAAAATTTTTCGCGCGCTTCGCGCGCATTTCTTAGGGTTAAGGCTTGTGTTTCCTCTCCTTTGTGTTTTTTGTTTTTTTTTTATTTGTGTTTTTTGGGGGGGGGGGGGGGGGGGGGGTATGGTATCACATCAAGTCATAAATTACTACCCGGGAAAATTATTACCTTTGTCGCCACCCCCCCCCCCTGACCCAATACCCCTGTTACGCGCCTGCTTATAAGTGGGCCCCCCCACATTGAAAAACGTTCCGCCGGCCCTGTTAGTGGTATTCAAGCTTTTAATACATTTCCAGTCAGTTTCACAAGTCTCAGTTGAATTTCTCTGTCAGATTTAAACTGGATGTCTCTGTCGAATCGAAAGTGGATGATCATGTCTGCCTTGTGCAAAAGCCAACACGCTTTTTATAGGACTGGTTAAATTTTTAAAATCCCAAACAAAATTCTGCTCAAGTTTTGTGTGCTTTAAAGGTAGTTGGAATTCAGCATTGACTATAGGCATAGTAGGGAATTTGATAAAAATATTATTATCACATTATTATTATTATTATTATTATCATATTATACTATTATTATATTATTATATATTATTTGCGCTTAACATTATAATTGGATTAAACGCCTATGGAACACAAACTCAAGCTCCCTGGGGGAGTATTCCATAACGTTGCAGCAGCTACATCAGCACTTTTTGGCATTTAACCCTACCAGGTACCCACTTACAGGCCTACTCCTGGGTGGAGGGAAGCGATGCAGATAAAGTGCCTTGCCCAAGGACACGATTGAAAATGCACGGCAAGGGATTGAACCTGGGACCTCGAGGTTGGGAAACCAACCCATACTCGCTACGCCAAACCACTTCCAAATATTATAGTTTAACTGATTTATATTCTTTTATTCTAGATTTATTTGTGACATGACCATCCTTATGTGTTATTCAAGTATAATAGTCCTGATTTTAAAGCTATGTGATGGTAAGTTCTCATAGAATTGTGTTCCTTAATCTGCGATTGACAATAGCATAATTGCTTTCTGTATAGATTGTGTTACATTCAGCAACTATGTGCCATTTTGTAGGGTAAGCACATGAGTGTGTGAACTTCTACTCGTAATACTATATATAGAATGAGGGATCGAACGAATGAATGAATAAATAAGCTGGACTTACTATTGTCTAATTGTAAAACAGAACAGAATTTTTCCTCATTGCCATAATGAGGAATGACGAAAATTATGAAGTTAAAAAAGATAAACAAGAAACCAACTCGACTTCATGGATATTTGAACTATGGCTGCAATTGTAATGATGTAAGTGATGTTGAGTATTATCATTACGCTAGGAACCCGACCCTGCTGAAGTCAGTGTATAATTGTTTATGCATTTCATGGTAGCTTTGTGTTTAAAATAGCTGTAGCTATAGAAACGTTTTGCGTTAACATAGTTACCCGTTATATGTTAAAGTGCACATCTTTGATATACTGTAGTCTTTGCTTGGATAAATTTTGAAGAAGATTCATGCACGGAAAGTGACCAAAGTGTCAGACAGAAAAACCCTGTGAAAAAACATAGGAAAACAGCAACACCAAGAGCAACGATTGTTGAAATGGCGTTATACAAACAGAAACGATTGATTGACTGATAGAAAAGAATGAATTCAGAACGCAGGAAAGGGCAATAAATACCAGTTGAGTATCTTCTGATGTCGGCTCAGAACTTCCCCCTCTCCCTTCCTGTATGTGGCCATTAATCACCGGTACTCCGCATGTGGTATAATACCATATAATTTATTTCATTGATAAAGACATATAAATTAAAATTACAAACATGATTACATGATAGAAATCTAAGCACTTAAACAAGTTTAAAAGCCATTAAAACTCGACTGGACTAATTGCTCAAACGTAAAAACAAGTTTACTGTATACCTGTTTTGACAGACATATTGCAAGACACTTTGACTAATTTTCAAGTAGGGCTTTTTTGAATCGTGTACTAATTTTGAATTTGACCCTTTACAATTTAGATTTATAAATGGTAGAGGAACATCTATGGCTGCCACCACTGTCAATGACGTCTTGTCTACTGCATCAATAAAGACTCCCGGCCTGATTAAATAAGCCTCTCAAACCCCTAAATTGTTACTTTTTTCAGGGGCTTCACCCCCTGGACCACTTTCAAAAATTTTGAGCGATGCCTGACCACGCCCATCTCGGGTCACCCCAGCATATTGCCCCCTAAAATTTTACCTTGCCTCCCCCCCCACTTGCCTCTCCCCTCCTTGCCTCTTCAGATGCTGGCAACATTGATGATCGGTGGTGGAGATGTTTACTATCTTGGTACACAAATTTGATAGTGAAGGTGAAGTTTGGTGGTTCCATAAGTAGAAAAATAGCTATCCGTAAAGGCGCAAGGGGGTTTGTCATCTCCCTTCATATTTAATCTATTTCATAAAGAAAATAATAATACAGGATCTTATTCATAGATTGAATTCTCTAAACCGCGGTATAGTTATTGCCCACTCTACCTTCAACGCATTTTCTTATGCCAATGATATTTTGCTTGCTAGCCTAACAACAACAGGGCTCCAAAAACTTGATTGATTTTGCTAACAAGTATACTCATCACATGGATTACGGTTTAATCTGAGTAAAACTACATGTACTGTCTTCGGTGATAATATTTTTAATGCCAGTAAGAGCACTGTAACGTCAATGAACAATATATTTTTGAACAGCTTAAGCGTATTTCTCCTAACTGGAAATGATAAACTACCTTCTAAATTAGCCAAAGCTGCTATAAATTCAATTGTTGGACCACTAATGTACATAGTGAATTTATCCTTATCTTCAGGTCAATTCCCATACAAGTGGAAAAATGCTAAAGTTTGCCCCATCTTTAAGGGTGGTGATAGGTCTCAACCTAGTAACTATAGGCCAATTTCAATATTACCCACTTTATCAAAAATATTAGAAAGGGCGGTGTTTGATCAAGTGTACAAATTCATTGATGAAAACAATATGATCTATAATTGCCAATCAGGATTTCGCTCAAATTTTTCAACTATGTCTTCATTATTAAACATTACTGAAGACTGGATAAATGCTATTGACAATGGTCATTTTACAGGTCTAGTAACACTAGACCTTAAAAAGGCATTTGATACAGTTGACCATAAGATTCTCATTGAAAAACTTAAAACCTTTAAGCTTGATAACAACATAATAATATGGTTTAAAAATTATTTAAGTGATCGTTCCCATACCACGCATGTAAATGGTATACAATCAACTAAATGTCAAAGTATTTGCGGAATACCCCAAGGTTCTATTCTAGGGCCACTTTTATTTGTGTTATATGTCAATGATTTACCAAAAAGTGTTTGTAATGTAAAAATTAGCATGTATGCTGATGATACAATACTTTATTATTCATCTCCTAATATTGATAATGTTGTACATAACTTAAATGTTGACCTTGAAAGCATTAGAAAGTGGCTTATTAACAATAAACTTACATTAAATGTACAAAAATCTGAATGTATGTTTATTGGTACAAAGAAAAAACTTTCTAAATTATCAAACAGTAATGTTAATTTGTATATAGAAAATAATTGTTTAAACAGAGTTAGTTATTGCAAACACATCGGTGTTTATATCGATGAAAATTTATCATGGAATAAGCAAACTGATAATGTAAAAACTAAAGTTCTGCCAGGTTTGTACTATTTGAAAAAGACTTCTAAATTTCTATCAAATGATCAACAATCTCTTATGTATAAAACCATTATTGCTCCTCATTTTGAATACTGTAACCTAGTATGGGGTAGATCTACTCAAATTCAAAAAAACAAATTACAAGTCTTACAAAATAGAGCAGCAAAAATAATTCTGAAAAAAAGAAAAGATGATTCAAGTACACAAGCTTTGCAGACCTTAAATTGGGAACATTTAGAAAACAAATTGTATAAAAATGAAGCAATAACCATGTATAAGATTTTTCATAAGATGGCTCCCTCTTACTTGACCGAACGTTTTACATTTAAGGAACAAAATTATTTAACCTGATTAAATGATGTCTTAAAAGTTGATCGTCCTCACACGGAATACAAAAAGAAAAGTTTATCTTACCGTGGTGCTATTCTCTGGAACGCACTGGATGAACATGTTAGAAATTCTTCAAGTGTTAAAATATTTAAAACACTTTTGTAAAATTTTTGGTCTTTGCTTCATTTTTTGTATCTCGTATTTGTATATAATTTTATCTTTTTTTTGTGATTATGTGTTTTATTTTATACTGTTATTTTGCAACTTCAATGACAACACGGCCTTGTAGAATAACACCCTCTGGGTGAAACAAGCTTTCCGTGTAAAAATAAAGTTTTAATAATAATAATAATAATAATAATCACCAAGACAAATGAATGTCTCAGGACAATCCATCAGGCAAGCTAGGCATACACCGCTGCTGCACACTATCCGCCGCTAGATGTTTCTTGTGGCTATTAGTTCAGTCAGTCTAATTGCAACAGAAATAGTTTTTGCAGAATCTCTTCCAGAAATATACACAGAATAACATACTCAGGGGAACATTGTTAATTTTAGAGATATTTAATGAGTTAACATCCAACGGTTTATTGTGTCACATAGCCAAACTGCTGCTTTGAAGTGTATAAAAGCCTGTTGTTTATAACAAAAAAATTGTTAAAATAATATAAACCAGACGTAGTTTGTTCATTGTGCTACCAACGCATCTGGTTGGGTTCAACTGCGTTCGCACGCAGGCACCCATTATGCTTTTACCATTTCTTAACAACAGGCTTTTATACGCTTCAACGCAGAAGTTGGGCTGTGTGACTCGATAAACCATTGGATGACAACCCATTAAATATCTATAAAATTAATATTGTTCCCCTGATTGGATTTTTTCGGACTTTTAGTATGTTATTATGTGTGTATTTTAGGAACAAATTCCTTAAAAATTATTTCTTTTGCAATTAGTTTTAGGTCCACTATGTAATGATTTTGTCATAGATTTACTGGACTATATGAGTATGACTGCAACAAACCTTCAAAATGTTCTAGACTTCGTCTGTGTGCACAGCAGGTGCCTACTAACCCAGTAATGCATCATGAAAATTTCTATTAATACTTTTTTTTTAATAAAGCCCAGGCTCAGTGTTCTTATTTTTTTTCCGATTTCAAGCTCAAAATGTTCTTATTTGTTTTAATTTTTTTTTTAACACACTTTTTAAACATCGAAAATCATTATTTTACAGCAGTACATTACTGTACCGTAATAAATAGGATATATAACCTACTACATAGTCACACCTGCCTACCGCACATAAGGTACAGATAAAAAAGATGTTGGTTTTTCTATTTTTTTAAGGATAAAAATGTCAATTGACATTTTACCTCTGCCTCAATTTTTGTTCTTAATTTTAAAGCAAATTTCAGTCTCAGTGTTCTTATAAAATGTGTTCTTATAAAGAAAAGAGTGTATTATGCCCAAGTTTTACCATCGATATCTTTCCAGGGCCAGCGCCAGCAGGGAGTAGGGGCATTCCCCCTTCGGACAGGCCTGGAACCCCTGTCGTCCAAAGCTTGACTAGTTCGTCAGATCAAAAGTTGAAGAAAAAATAATTTTTGCCTTTCTGAATAAAGTTATTTTGATTGCCAATCTCTAATATTGTGGTCTAAAAGCACATTTTGGACTATACTATTGCCATAAAGACTCTCCCCGTGGCTTTGCCAGCCAGTTGGTTCAGACCACTCTATTGCACATGTCCGACCCCTTGTCGGCAAATTTCTGGTGCCACCGCTGTATCTTTCATGCCTTTCGATGTTCTAACGCCTCGGACGTAATATAGAAACATTTGTTAGTGATTTGGTAAAAGAAATTTCACATTAAAAAACATAGAAACAGCAATTATGGTGTCGCTTACAGCAGACACACTTAGCCAAAACAGTCGTCG